ATATCAAACATCGGAGCGTCCTCCAGTAATGATTCATGGACATAACTATAATCAGAGATAATCTCATGGGATGGATGTTCAACATCGATGTGTAACGGATTAGTTTGTGCCGCACTCGTCCTTTTCTTCCTTGGATGAGTGTCAATCGAACCAAGTGGCCTTCCTCTCTTCCTTTGAGGAGCCACGGCCTCACCCACACTTCCACTCAGTGTGGATGTAATGCCTGTCATTACGGCATTTTTCCTTTTAGTTGGGACTTCTAACCTTGCAGGTGCATTTGCAGCAGGTATGTGTGATCTTGTCACTTTAGCAATATCAGTAAATGAATCGAGCATCGAATTTGCCACGTTTTGAAGATCAATTATTCTTTTCACTTCGCTTTCACAATGTGAAGTACGGGGATCAAAATGAGACAGTGTGGGGACACACCAAGATATTTCCTGTCGTTCGCTTGGAGAGTTTTTCTTATCTCCCCCTAACGACGGGAAATCTGTCTCATCAAAGTGACAATCTGCAAATCTAGCAGTAAAAAGATCACTTGTCAAAGGTTCTATATAGCGAATAATGGTTGGGAATTCATATCCAACATAAATACTTAATCGTCTTTGAGGACCCATTTTAGTGCGCTGTGGGGGCGCAATCGGCACATACACTGCACAACCAAATATCCGTAAGTGTGAAATGTCAGGCTCATAACTAGTCACCAACTGGTATGCAGAGAATGGTTGTGAAGCAGTGGGTCTCAAGCGAATAAGTAAAGCTGCATGCAATATGGCATGACCCCATGCAAATGTGGGCAAATTAGAACGCATAATCAATGCCCGAGCTACCATTTGTAGTCTTTTAATGGTTGCTTCTGCAAGGCCATTTTGCATAATTAGAACGCATAATCAATGCCCGAGCTACCATGTGTGTACATGGGGAACAGAATGCTCTACATCGATCCCGATGGCCATGGAATAATCATCAAAGTTCTTAGATGTAAACTCTGCAGCATTGTCAAGTCGTATAGACTTGATCGGGTGGTCAGGGTGGTGAGCCCTTAAACGAATTATTTGTGCCAAGAGTTTTGCAAATGCAGCATTTCTTGTTGATAATAATGTAACGTGTGACCAACGTGTCGAGGCATCAACCAGTACCATAAAATACCGAAATGGTCCGCTTTCTGGTTGTATTGGCCCACATATATCTCCTTGTATCCGTTGTAGGAATGATATATTTTCTTTTGAATCTTTAGCATAGGATGGTCGTGATCCTGTTTTTACTAATGAGCAGGCTTTACAAAAGGATTTGTGGACATGTGACATTGTCAAAAAATTATTTTGAGACGAGGACGATGCTTCAATTTCTTTAGAAGGCATTTGTCGCAGTTGGGCAAGATTGGGCCGACCGCTTTTCAAGCTGTCGGGTTTTTGTTTCGCTTTGTCCTTGCCTCGAAAGAAAGGATGACCGTGAGAGTTTTTTAGGATACGAATCATCATGTCACGACCAGGATGCCCTAATTGATCATGCCAAAGTCTATATCGTTCAGTATCCCTTATGTCATCATGACTTAAAGAATAAGATTCAATTATTCGAATTGTAGTGATATACAGTCCACTACTCTTACCCTTAAACTTCTCTAAGATGCACTTTCTTCTGCATTCATTAGAAGTAATGTAAAGGTATTCAATACCATTCTCACAATGACTTTCAACATGGAAACCATTGTCACGGATGTCTTTGAAACTTAACAAGGTTCGAGTAGCTCTAGGTGCATATAGAGCATTTATGGCTTTAATCAATGTACCATTAGGGAGTAAGAAAATGACAGTGTCACGTCCTTGAATTACATGTGACGAACCAATCATTGTTGTCACAGATGAATTATAGGCTACCAAGTTAACAAATAGTTGCCTATTTCGCAAAATGGTATGGGTAGTCCCACTATCTATTAAGCACTCAAGTTCACCTCGATTCATGCCTGTGGTAATGAGAGAATTGCATATAGAACTGGAACACATAATGCATATAAAAAATAGGGGCATAAATCCCGTAATTTATTTAAATTGAATGCAAATTTAAAACAATTCCACATAGTCTAAAAATGCAATAAATAGTCTTCAAAACACTCTTAGGAAATCGGCAGAGACAAAAAAAATTATTCTAAAAACATCATGCATGGAGAGAATGAATATAGTGTATCAATCAAAATCAGGTGTATCCATTGAGTGCACATTATCCCCCTTGTTCGTAAAGTGTGCAAGGGTAATGCTCTCTAGATTGGAGATATTTCTTGTAGCAGGCTGCAACTTTGTTACTACCATGTGTGTACATGAGGAATAGTTATTTTGGCATTGAAACAGAGCAAAAAAAACAGTGTATATTTTCAATTTGTGCCAAATCCACTTTAAAAAAAATTTCGTGAAGTCATTAGCCGTGAACTAAATATGACTATCATAATATGATTATCACAAATAAAGTCGCATAAACTAGAGTCATAAACCTCAATTTGGAATTTGTTTGGTGTCTTCACTTGAAGACATTCCCTAGACAGTGTTTTGCCTTTTTTTTTGACAAAAGCTGTAGTGTAGTTTTTCATAAAAAATAATAATTTGAGTATAAGAAGTTTCAACAATGGGAGTAAATTATTTGAGTTGAAAAATGAACTACACCGTTACAGTAAAACATTGGAATGTATTACCCACAATAAACATACCAAATGTATTAAAATAAATTAAATAAAAAGGAAACTGATTTAATGTAAAGATTTATTACATATTTTCCAGAAAAAAAAATGCAAGTTCCAATGCATATAAAATCCCAAAAAAACAGTCTTTGACAGAATTTGGGTAAAATCCGTGATTTTAATCCATGGCAATCAAACTAAGATTACAAAAAAAATGTAAAATGATTTCAGCTATATCACATAGAGATCACACAAAAGAAAACAGCAAATTGGGTTTATGTAATCAGGATTTAAGAGCGCACATATGCATCGTAATTCAATAGCAATAATTTGGGGGGGAAAAAACCTGGACCGTAGGTGCGAGATGCTGTGCAAATTGGTTGGGGTCGTGCGATGGGAAGAAAACCGCAGTTGCTGTGCGATAGACTGAGATTTCGGGGAGACGGGAAAAAAAAACCTCTGATTGACACAGATTTCTGGTGCTGGTTCTTCCGATTTGGCCCTCGCGGTCGTCTGCGCCTCACGATCGGGAAGAAGGCTTCTCCTTCAGATTTGGTTCACGATGTTCGACGGCGACTGGCGATGGTGGCGTGGGGAAACTCAGACGCTTGGAATCGCAGACCTGGCGGCGGGGTCCTTCCGATTTGATGCGCGATGGGGGATCGCAGAGGAGCAGAGGAGAACGGCGATGGGTGGTCTTTTCCTCTGCGATGTACAGTGGAGATCGGCGGAGAAAAGAACAGGAGAGAGGGTGGCGGACGGAAAAAAATTAGGGTTTTTCTAGAGCTCAGTGCTGATAACCTGTTGTGGTGTTGTGAGAGATGTGTGTTTGTTTATTGATAATAGCTCCCTTATATAGGGAAGAGCTTCGTAGGGTTTTTACAAGAGAAGGCCCACGGGCCAGTACAACTGTATTACACAATATAAAGTAAATTCTATCTACACAACAGCACACTAATAAACAAATTCCTTCAACATTTTCACCTTTTTTTTCTTGTTCTTTCATTTTCTTTTTCTTCTATTTTTCTTTTTATTTTATTTTTTCCTAACCAAATAAGAAAAAATGTTTTCTCCCATTTTTTCTTTTCTTTCTTGAATTTATTTAATCAAACATAGAGTATTAATCAATTACTTTCTAATACGCTTTGAAAATAATTATTCTTATTAAATAATGAAGATCCATTATTGAGTCCATCCTCATAAATAAAGATTATTATCTCTCAAGCAAGCTGAACACCACTAACGAGGTGCAGCTTAAAGCATATGTACTGGAATGGAGTCAGCCGAAGAGGTTATGTGAGGATAGCTTCTAGAAGTAGAGAGGTAGATATTTGTTGTATGATGAACAAACATTAGAATACGTGTGTTGAGTTCTTTTCAAACGAGAGTGTTGGATTTTCGAGCGAGCAACAAAGTTTCTTTTTTCTCTTTGTTGACTATTCTCTACTTCTCTACCATTTTTCATGCTCTCGAGCACTAGAAGAAACAAATACAAATGCAATTTTCTAGTTCTTCAATTACACACCCAATTTTTGTTTGGAGAGATAGAGATGGACAAAGTACAATGGTTGTTAAGCAGCCTCATCATTTTTGGAGAGAAAGAGAAGCCAAGGGAGTCATCACGGTGCCCATCATAGTGGGAGATGGTGCGCACAAAGCAAAATTGAAGTGCGTCAGGACCTGAAGTGCGTCATATCTCCATACTACCTATGCATGGCGTTCCACACCCACTCAGGGATAGGGATGGAAAGGGGGGACAAGAAGCTTGCCCGCTCCTGCTATGTTCGGATCACTAAGAAGTTGTCAAAGGATGAGACGTTGGTCGTCAACACCCAGGTGGAGATCATGAAGCAAGAAGCGCAACCAAAAGTCGAACCCACCGAGGAGGATGAGGAAGTACCCGTCGACCATCGGGTGCCTGAGCGGAGAGTAAAGATTGAGGTGGGCCTAGCAAGAAGCGCGTTGAAGTGTTTGGTGGCCGTGCTCACCACGCTCAGCGTCATCTTTTCATGAGGGCCCGGGGATATGCCGGGGGTAGATCCCAAGATTATATGCCACCAGTTGGCGGTCAACCCTGAATCTAGGCCGGTAAGGCAAAAGAAGCGATTTCTTTCGTCCGAACAGAGGGAGTTCGTCGCCAAGGAAATAGCAACCTTCCAAAACATCGACAATATAAGGAAGGTAAAGTATCCGAAGTGGATGGCTAACATAGTGTTGGCACCCAAAGGGACTAACTACTTGGAGGATGTGTGTGGATTACACTGATCTTAACAAAGCATGTCAAATATACCCATTCCCACTCCCGAACATCAACCAGCTAGTGGACGAGACCGCCAAGCGCGAGCTCATGAGCTTCATGGATGCATTCAGCAGGTACCACCAGATCAGGTTGCATTCAGACGACGAGGAGAAGACATCGTTCACCACCCTCGGCGGAATATATTGCTACAAGGTGATGTCCTTCGGCCTCAAGAACGCGGGGGCGACCTACGCCACGATGGTAAGCAAGCTCTTCGCCCCCTTCCTCGAGAGGAGCATGGAGGCCTACGTTGACGACATGATCTTGAAGAGCAAGAAGGCAACCACCCATGCAGACTTAGAAGGAGTTTTTAAGATTATGGAAAAGTACAACCTGCGACTGAACCCGATGAAGTGCACCTTCGGGGTCCGGGGGGAATGTTTTTGGGGCACGTGGTGAGTCAAATAATATAGTCATGACATCTCTTGTTTTATAGACATTTTGATGTACTTCTAAAATATATAATTCTTATTTTTTAATTTTATGCCTATAATCTAATAAATTTAATTGAAAATAATTTTATCCAAACCTCGTAAATCAAACTAGAAAGATCATTTTAGGACAGAAGGAATATCATGTTAACCCCAACCCCTCCCCCCCCCCCCCACCAATTGTCGATTGGCAATATTTTGAGAGGGTCAACTAAATTGGAATAAAATATAGAAAACGTATCGAAATAGGATTTTTAATGTTTTTATTCTTAAAATAAAAATTTGTATTGTGAAATTGTATTGTATATGGACATTTAACAATACTTTTAGTAATGTTTATAGTCATGATTGACATATCTGAGGCCCCTTCAAACTCGACTTGACGATCGCTGAAAGAAGATAAATTAGACTTTAATCATAAATTGGTAATACAGTGTAAACCGTGCACCTAGTGTTTGTAAAAATTCTTTATTTAGTATAATTATCTTCTAGTATAGTTGTCCTATTCAAGTAATCAAGTTTACATTTGATATTCCTTGCTTTTATATGTGCGCAATGGTACCCCACTGAAAAGGATGAGCCCCCACTAAAAAGATACACAGGAGGAAGTACTTATTCTTCAATAACTTCTCAAAAACCAAACCTTTTTTGGTGTCATTAGTTGGGGAAATGCACCACAGCCCCCTATGGTTTCAAAAAGGAGCTCCAACATCCCTCGTGGTTTTAAAAGTAACTTATAATATATCTATGGTTTGTAAAGGGTGCACATGCACCCCCCATCTAAAAGTAACTTATACTATTTTTTTTTAAATCAATTTTTTTTCTTAATTTCTCAACTTTGTTCCTTTATTTTTTTTTTAAATTAATTTTTTTCTTTATTTCTCATAATTGAATAACAATTTTTTTTATAGAACCAGCAAATTAATTACATATAATGAAACAAACAATCTAATAATGATAAAATTCATAACTAAAATAATTATTTGTTGACTTTAAATAATGCACCATGCACCGAAATTAAAATAAGAAGTAAGTCACGACAAATTTATTGATAGAGTACATATAATTTATTCATTCATAAAAATAAGGTTACAAAATACATGTCATAACTAATTTATTTTGTGAAATTCATAAAACATAAACTTAGACATAATTGAAATCCATGATATAGCTATTGTTCATAGCGACGTCGCCGTGGTCGATAGTCCATGTTATTCAGATATTGAGATGAACTACTGACTACGAAATCCGAATAACATGGACTAGCGACCACAGCGACATCGCAATGAACAATAGCTATATCATGGATTTCAATTATGTCTAAGTTTATGTTTTATGAATTTCACAAAATAAATTAGTTATGACATGTGTTTTGTAACCTTATTTTTATGAATGAATAAATTATATGTACTCTATCAATAAATTTGTTGTGATTTACTTCTTATTTTAATTCCGGTGTATGGTGCATTATTTAAAGTCAATAAATAGTGATGGAAACCGCTTTTTCGGAGCGTCGACCCGACGAAATCGGTACCGGGTCGGCACCGCACCGAATAGCGAAATCCGAAAAAATAAATAAATAAATAAATAAATAAATAAATAAATAAATAAAGCGGAGAGAAAGTATTTATGCATGGAAACCCAAATCGGGAGAAAACGACGGGCCTTTCTAGGCGGTGTCATGCCAAAGGGGAGGAACTTTTATTAATTTCGGAGAAATTTACATATACATCATTGTATGAGCTTGGAGCCATTAATAGAGCTCCAAGATTAAAGAAGAAGAAGAATGAAGAATAATAGGAACATGTTGTAGGAATCTGGTCTCTATCTTCCGTCCTTCGTAGCATTATATTTAAAGGGGAGTACATGCATGCAATCCAACAATGCCATGAGGTGGCCATGTCACCTCCATGTGCATATGTTTAGTATATGGGCTCCACAGAATATTTTCATATCACTTCAAATATATTCTTCTGTCCATATATCTCTGGTTCCGTCTTGAATAATTTATCTGATTTATATCTTGGGCTAGATAAAATTGGGCTTTCTTGTACTGTTCAAATGATATTGGATTAGGAAAAATCCCTAATCCATCAAATAATTATTTTATTTATGAATTTTATCATTATTAGATTGTTTGTTTCATTATATGTAATTAATTTGCTGGTTTCTATAATTCTTTTTGTTATTCAATTATGAGAAATAAAGAAAAAAATTGATTTAAAAAAAATAATAGAGCAACAAAGTTGAGAAATTAAGAAAAAAAATTGATTTAAAAAAAAAGTATAAATTACCTCCCGATGGGGTGCATGTGCACTCTTTACAAACCAGAGGTATAATATAAGTTAGTTTTAAAGTGAGTATTGGAGCTAGTTTTTGAAACCACAGGGCTGTGGGTGCATTTCTCCCGTCATTAGTTCGACCTTTTCTCACCCACCCCCTTTTTTTTCAGTGCTTCCATCATTCCTCCAACAGATCGAACACAGATTTATTCTCCTTTCCTCTCCAAGCGTTCTCCACTTGATTCTTCAGAAGTTGAAGAATGGTGAACATGAACTTGAAGGTGGGGACAAGACCGCCATGGGTGGCTCTGGGAGCTTCAGTATGGCTCCAAATCGCAGCAGGAAATGGGAACAACTTTCCACTCTATTCCCACACCCTAAAATCAGCTCTGGGTTTGAATCAGCAGCAGCTGACCATGCTTGGGGTTGCCAATGACATTGGGGAGAACATTGGGCTCCTTCCTGGCTTTGTCTGCAACAAGTTCCCTCCTTGGGTTGTCCTCCTCATTGGTGTTTTTGCTTGTTTTCTTGGCTATGGAACCCTCTGGCTCTCTGTTAGTGGTACTGTTGCAAATCTGCCTTATTGGCTGGTAAATTCATCTTATTTTGTCTCGTCCTTTTCTCTTTGACTGATTGATTGGGAAATAGTCAATAGAGACACTTGATTTTTGAGGCTCTGAGTTTGGATGGAGGGTTTTGGAGGATTTATCCTATTTCTTGATATGCATGGAGTATTTGAGATTTTTATTTTTAATTTTTGAAAGAATGTGATGATAGGCGATTATATATATACCAAAAAAACATTCTCCTCTAGTCCTCTGAAACCCTTCATCCAAACTGATCCTTAAATACAAGCTTGTCAAAGACTCAAAGTTTCACGGGATAGAAGTAAAGAAGGATCTGTCAACTAGGAATTGGAGAATTTGTCTGTGAGATTTTCCTTGCACATCTGTGTGTGCATTAAAAATCTGATCTTTATGTGGTTGGCAGTTTCATATTTGCATTTTGGAATCTCTGGTTGATATAGTGACTTGATTTCTTGAACAAAAGAAGGATGGGTAAAATTGGGAAGATAGAGAATTTGTCTATCATTCTTTGGTCACTGTTTTAAAAATCTAATCTTTATTCCATTGGTTGTTTTTCTTCATTTTTGAAGCACTATTTTTTTCATATTGATAGACAGTGAACTGTCTTTTTTTGTTTGTGAATCCCATTTCACTTTTTGTTTTATAACTGAGAGCAAAATTATATGTACATGTTGTGGTCATTGGCAGTTGTGGATAGCCATTGTTGTGGCCACAAACAGCGGTGCTTGGTTCGGCACTGCCTTGATTGTGACCAACATGAGAAACTTCCCTCTGAATCGCGGCACCGTTTCCGGCATTCTTATGGGCTATGGAGGACTCAGTGCTGCAGTGTTCACTGAAGTGTACACTGTATTGCTTCATGGTTCTTCTTCCAGCCTCTTGATGTTCCTAGCTGTTGGAGTTCCTGCTATATGTCTTCTCATGTTGTTCTTTGTTCGCCCATGTACTCCCGCTTCAGGTGACGACCCTTCTGAGGATTCCCACTTTTTGTTCATCCAAGCCGCCAGTGCCATTCTTGGTGTCTATGTTCTCACTGCAACAATCTTGGAAGACATATTCCCGCTTGGTTTTTCTCTTTCTTATGTCATCCTTGTCATCATGGTGCTTCTTATGTCGGCCCCGCTAGTGGTTCCTATAAAAATGACTATATATCCATCGATTCTTAGCAAGTCATCGAAAGTTGCGGATCGAGATAATGGTGTTGAAGAGACAACAATAGAGCCTTTGTTGGTGTCTTCATCCTCATCAGCTGCTAACTTGGGAAGCTTCAATGAGAGCGAGGGGATATCTGAAGTGGACATGCTTCTTGCAGAGGGTAGAGGGGCAATAAAGGAAAAGAGGAGGCCTAGAAGAGGGGAAGATTTTAGGTTCAGAGAAGCCCTCATCAAGGCTGATTTCTGGTGTTTGTTTCTGGTCTGTTTCGTTGGTGTTGGCTCTGGGGTCACGGTGCTCAACAACCTTGCGCAAATAGGGATTGCACAAGGCGTTCAAGACACTACAATCCTTCTATCTCTATTCAGCTTTTGTAATTTTGTTGGCCGTCTTGGTGGTGGCGTCGTCTCTGAACATTTTGTCAGGTTTGTAATGTTTCTTAACAAGCGCTTCTTTGTAATGTTTCTTCTAAAATGAGACATTTTTTTTTACTTTGTTCGTGTTATGGTGCTTATATATTACTTTGTTTGTGCATTTCCTTGTGCTTATGTGTTTGAGCCAGAGGTCTCTTGGAAACAGTGTCTTTACTGTCAAGTAGGGGTAAAGTCTGTGTACGAACACCCTCTCCAAGCCCTACATCTTATGGGACTTTACTGGGTTTGTTATTGTTGTAGTTTTGATAACCTTGAAAAGTGAACACACGGATCATATGCTCGAATCTTTTGCCATTTTGTAAGGCATGTTAAGCCATTACAACACATCACAAAATGTAAAACATAAACCAACATATATTGCTTTAGGGTACTCGTCCTCGGCCTTTTAGGTTTGAGCCCCATGGCTAAACATTGAAATTTTGATCTCTATTCTTATCTCTATTTTGTCTCAGAGACTGGTACTACTGTACTAGGGTATAGGGGTAGGGGTAAGATTTGCCTACACACACCCTTTTGAGACCCTACTTTTTGTGGGCTTTTAGTGGGTTTGTTGTTGTATTGTTATCCCTAAATGAAACATGGTATTGTTCTTGTAGGTCAAAGGCGCTTCCGAGAACGTTTTGGCTCACATGCACGCAAGCAGTGATGATATTCACATACCTTCTCTTTGCCTCCGCGCTCGATGGGACCCTCTATGTTGCAACAGCTCTACTCGGGGTGTGCTTCGGGGTCCATTTCGCCGTGGGGGGACCCACAACCTCGGAGCTCTTCGGGTTGAAGCATTTCGGGCTGATCATCAATTTCCTGGCAATAGGGAACCCTCTCGGCGCCTATCTCTTCTCTGGCCTTCTCGCTGGGTACCTGTACGATGACGAGGCTGCGAAGCAGCACAGCGACACCTGCATTGGCCCCAACTGCTTTAGGGTAACGTTCCTAGTTTTGGCGGGACTTTGCTCCGCGGGTTGCCTTCTTAGTGTTCTTTTGACGGCTAGGATAAGGCCGGTGTACCAAATGCTTTATTCCGGTGGCTCATTCCGGCTGCAACAAAGCTCAAATCTTTGAAGTTTCTTGAACAAAGACTGCTTTTTTATTTTTTTTATTTTTACTGTATGGTTACTGATCCCATTGCTAGCTCCCTCTCTTTTTACTACAGGGGAGTAAAAATTAAGAGTGTGTTGTTTGGTCATTATGAACATCATGTTTATATACTATGGATTTGTGCTTTGTATTTTTACAGCATTGGAATGAATCACTTCCTGTGGTAAAATTATAGTGATGAATTTTTGTTGCAGTGTTTCTTAAGCTATGTGCTCTGTATTAGTCTACTAGTACATTAGATATTTTATTTGCTGATTTTGAAACCGGACCATTGCAACGCGATAAACCGATTCAATTGTTTCTTCGTCTTCCCATTCTTCAGCTTCTATTTCCTCTCTCAGGTCCATCCTTACCGGATCGACTATCCCTTCCTTGCCTCAGATATTGTCACGAAATCGGCAGTCATTGTCGCCGTCACAACCTTCTCATTGTCTTCCATGAACAACACCCTCGTAGTAGCTACATCGTTCTCCAAGCTGTTGCCATTCAGGTATTGAGACTTAAAAATTTCAGAGTAAAAATGTACTCAAGTTATTTTTTCTCAATTAAAGGTATTCAAAAATTTTGCAAATTCTTATTTAGGAAAAAACCTAACAATGTTTTGCTATTATAGGTAATTTCTCCAAAATACAATTATTATTGACATGATTAAATTGCATATTTTTTTTGTTCATTCGATGTACGTACATTTTCTAATGTGATTTAATTATTCTGGACATCAACAGTTTTTGTTGTGGCTGGCGTTGTTGTTCGGGTGCAAGTTCTGACATACGAGGTTGATCCATATACCAAGATGCTATATTACAAAAAAGTTCTAGGCCCGAGCCCGGCCTGGCCCGTATATTGGGCCAAACAATTGAAGCATGAGCCCGACCCGTATAAGTACTCGCGGGCTTCAGGCCAACCCGGCCCACATGGTTAATATTATTTACATTAGTAAAAAATAATTTTTTAAATAAAGAAATGTCTTAGGTATCGACTAATATAAAGAAATGTCTTAATTTTTTAGAAATCTCATACTTGATATAATAAGTATGATGAATATATTGTTAAAGTATCGACTAATATATGCAATGCGTTTTTGTTTGATAATACTCTATTATTTATTTAATATTATTATCGAACTACGATAACTAATAATAACAATGTATTCATTTGATTAAATATACTTGTAAAAATATCTTTTTTCTCCATAAAAATATGCATGTGTGTGTATATAATAATACTCCGTAATAATTAAATAGTATTATTATTGTTGCTATTATTATTATTATATTATTTTATCATAACTATGATAATAATAATAATTTATTCGGGCTGGGCCGGGCCACGAAGTTGAACATAAAATTTGAGCCCGACCCTAAGGTATGCAGGTCCAACATCAAGCCCAAGCTCGCTATTTTGTGGGCGGGTCGGATATCCGGACTCGTGATCGGGTCTAGTGCAGATTAAGGGCCTGTTAGGGAATAGTGTTAGATATTAGCACTGGCGTTTTGGATAAAAATTTAACGGTACAGATTATTTTGAAAACATTAACGCTAAATGCTGTCCGTAGATAACTTTCTCAAAACATTAACGCTAATCTCTAACAATATTTCCTCTAAATTTAAAAATAAGTAGATAGAAATGAAATATTGGCTTTGTTTGGTAATATCGTTTTCGATTAGCGTTAGCGTTTTGGATAAAATTTTAATGGTGCAGATTAATTCTGAAAATGCTAACTTGAGCCTGTTTGGGAATATCGTTAGAGATTAGCGTTAGCGTTTTGAAAAGGCTATCTACGGCCAACGTTTAGCGTTAGCGTTTTCAAAGTAATCTGCACCGTTAAAATCCTATCCAAACGCTAACGCTAATCTCTAACGCTATTCCCAAACAGGCCCAAAGGCTACCGTCGGATAGCTTTTTCAAAACGCTAACGCTAATCTTTAACGTTGATGCCAAACGGGGCCATGTCATCAGTATCATTTTCAAAACGCTAAATATATGTACAAAAAATTAGGAACTCACACTTTAATCATTACTCCGTAATTAATTGTATTAATCCATCATTTAAAAATTAAAACTACTCCGGAATAAAGAACATGAAAAGCGAATCAACGCTCTCTTCCGGTTTTCTCGGTCAAATTTATCCGTACCTTATCTTCTTCTTCTTCTTCCTCCGTATGGATCAGCCAGCAGAATCCTTCCATCGTCGCAGCATCGGACTCATCACTCTCCTACTATGAATCGCTCGTTCTGTAATTTTCTGAGAAAGCCCCACAATCCCAGCCCTCGTTTGATCTGCTCGAAATCGAGATCCATCTCGTCGCGATCGGACGGCGGCCGGAGGTTCCATACCCGCGACGAGAGGAAAAAGGGCGGGAAGTTCCTCGATTCGCTCCTCAGGTCTCCGCTTCTCCCCGTTGTTGCCTGCTCAAGTGCTGCGGGGTTAATTTGTCATTACTCGTTATCGCAGAAGGATTCTCTGGTTGCTTTTGCTGATTCTGGAAATGGGGCATCGTACCAGCCTGAGAATAAGCCTATGTTTATCTTCAAAGGTAAATTTTTGTGTCACTGTATCTTGAATTCGGTGCTGTCTCGGCGTCTCGTGATTTTTTTTCATACAAGCTTCAGAATTTCATGGAATAATAGAGATGGTTTTACAAGTTAGGAATGTTCTGGATTGGATTACAACTTTCACACGATTTCACTATGCCTTTCACATGTTAATGTTAATGATTTTGGTGATGTCATTTGGTAGAGTGAATCCCACATCGGAAAGCCAAAAGTGAAACAAGCTGTATATAAGCTCTTGATTTGAACTAACTAATTGATTGGAATCAACTTTTTAATGTGGTTCAGCTCAAGTATCTTATTTCTCATTCCCATGATCCATACCCCATCTTAAATTCTATCACAATTTACTCATTGTGCTTATTGCATTTTTTTATGACCTTCTTTTGGTTATTGGGACTAACAAAAGCATTTCTTAATGCTAAAAGTTTAGTCTCCGAAGCAATTTCACAAGAAACTGCTCGGGTTTTTACCAAAGCAGCTCTTGGAGGATGTATCAATTGGTTGAAAGGCTTAAAAGAAAATATTGTTTTGGGAGGGCCGGAGGGGTAATGCCTGCAGATGCACGCTTTTAAACCGTATAAGAAAATTAGTTTGGCAACCCCAAAATACAAGTTATTCTACGGGGACGTTTGAGATTTTTTCAAATTTTTTAACTCTTTTCTTTTTTAACAAAATCCCATAATCTGGCAAATCTTTCCTGCGTCATAAAAAGATGCAATAAGGCAGAACATGGTAATATAGGAAAAACATTGTGATATCATATACTTCGTACCATGTAATAAGTGGATATGGAGTATAAATTATCTTGCTTGTCTCTTCCTTTCTAATTTTTTCTGTGTTATTTCACAACTTTTCTCCCCAATGTCAAGCATAATGTCTAGTTCTAGACATTTTGGAAATATTTAATAATATTTTAATGCTCCTCTCATTTCAGATACGTATAGGAAAAAGGTGTTCTTCAAATATGAAAAACGGTTGAGGATGCATAGTCCTCCTGAAAAGGTATTCCATTTAACTAGTTATGCAATGGTTAAGGTATAGGCTTTTTTTGTACCTACATTCATTGTCCTCCATAGTTATCTTTCAAAATTTCCAAGGTTTATTTATGCTACACTGTTGTGGTGGGACCCTCATTGAGCAGGATGCTGATGCACTAAGGTTATCCTTTACTAAATTACGATGTTTTTAAACCAATAGGTGTTTGAGTACTTCGCATCTTTCCGGACACCTGCGGGAGAAACGTATATGACTCCAGCAGATCTAATGCGGGCGGTTGTTCCTGTTTTTCCTCCTTCTGAAGCGCCTGTGGTTAGAGCTGGAAAACTGAAAGGGGAACTGGTTAATTGTGAGCTGCATTGTGCTCCTTCGAAGTTTTTTATGCTTTTTGATACCAACAATGACGGTCTTATATCATTTCCAGAGTTAGTACTTTTCCAACTATTTCCTCCCCAAACGAGGATTTGATCTCCTTGAATCAATTTCAGTCTGCTTGCAACAGGTATATCTTTTTTGTCACGCTCCTCAGCATCCCCGAGTCAAGCTTCTCGATAGCGTTTCGTATGTTTGACACCGACAATGATGGGTAAGTGTTCGAGTTTGCGTCATTTGCATCAATGTTTAGTAGTGGTTTGCTTCAAAGTCTATATCTGTAGATGGTTTCAGTGTGCTTGAGTCTCTGGTTAAAATACGGAGTATTAAAGAAAGACACATAGGTTTATAAGAAATGGTCTTCTGAACAGAGGAATAGACAAGGAGGAGTTCAAGAAAGTGATGTCACTGATGCGAAATCAAAACCGTCAAGGTGCCCACCACCGAGATGGGAAGCGAATTGGATTGCATGTTTCTGGTTCCGTGGAAGATGCTGCTTTGCTCGAGTACTTCTTTGGAAAAGATGGAAATGCCCACCTTGATCACGAAAAATTTGTCCAGTTCTTGAGAGATTTACACAACGAAGTATCACTCTTTTACACGCTTTTTTTTTCATTTTTGTGCTAACAGTTGGGCAGAAATCTTCTAGGATTGTACCCCATGGTTCTTTTAATTCTGGATCCCAGTGTCATATTATGACAATGGATCCTTTTGAGGCTGCTGCTCAGTTCGACTCCGAAGTAGGCCATACCCATGTGACCCCAGTCAAACCTCCCCTAGCCTATCCCCACCCCCTTCCTACGGGTGACAAGCCCTTTGGGCGGGGAGCAGAGGGTGGGCTAGGGGGGTTAGGAGGATAAGAACCACTTCGGGTCGGACAGAGCACCTTAGGGGCTTCAAAATGTCATATTATTACATTGATCCAGTGTCAAGAGAACCCCTTAAGTATCGCATTCAAGTGTTTTCCTTCTTTTTTGTGTGTTGCAGATTTTGAGGTTGGAATTTGAACACTACGATTATGGTTCACGGGGGAGCATCTCTGCTAAAGATTTTGCATTATCAATGGTCGTATCAGCAGACATGAGCCACATCGACAAGTTTCTTGATCGTGTCGAAGAGCTGAACAGCGCGACACATCTTAAAGACGCGCGCTTTTCTTTTGACGAGTTCAAGAGCTTTGCTGAGCTGAGAAACAAATTGCACCCGTTTAGCCTCGCCATCTTTAGTTATGGAAAGTCGGTGAACGGTCTGCTCACAAAGGATGACTTCAGAAGAGCAGCCAAGCAGGTTTGTGGCATATCTCTCACGGAAAACATGGTCGACCTGATATTTTACGTGTTCGACACAAACCGTGATGGGATTCTGAGCTCGGACGAGTTCCTCAGAGTGTTGCAGAGACGAGAGACTGACATTTCACACCCGAGGGAGTCTGGGCTAGTTGGGATGATATCGTGTTGGATGGACTGTGTGACAAAAGGCTGTTCTTATTCCAAGGTTCTTCGCTGAATCTCGTGTCCTGTCTCCTGAAACCAAACATGGTGGTGTCTGAACAGGAAGCATTGTACATATTGAGAGATGGTGATCTTTGTTTCCCTGCCTTAGCTTCATTTTGTAAACAAACAGCAGCTTGGCACTATGAAGAAACATGTACGCTTGACACAAGTGTATTGAAAGTATATCTAAACTAAATATTGTGACATTTTCAATTTTATGAACTTTATAATGATTTCTAGCTTAAATAAAATATTATCTATGTCCCGGGATTGTTTTTCATTTTTAATTTTTCATAAAAAGAATGCATGTTTCATACAGTAATATTTCTCTTACAGCTTTTACTTTCTTTATTTTGGCCCCCAGTAAAAATGGATTTCAAAGTCGAGAGGAAGTGAATATTTTTAAGATAAAATTTTACATTCTCACAAGTTTAAAGTTATAGTAATGCACAAGGCCGGTTGTTAAATGTATTTTAGGTCCTATATTTTGAATGGGATAATTTTATTTTGAAATTAGTGCTAAAATTGACTTTTGGTGATCAGTAATGTAAAATTTTGATTATTGTAATATATATTTATGCATTTAAAAAAATACTAGTATCTTTGAAATTATCAAAAGTTTAGATCATTAGCCTCTGAAAAATCGGTCCGGTTCCAGTGACACCGGAGAACGGTGCCACTCCGGTGCCACTGGGTTTTTGGGGCACCTCCGGTGCTCCGTTCGTAAAATTGATAATTCCTACCCCCTAACCCACCCCTTAAACCCCCCTACACTACCCCCACCCCTGCACCCCCACCCCAACCCCGCCGTAACCCCCCACAAAATGTGTGGCTATTATGCATTGCATAATAGCCACACATTTTGTGGGGGGGGTTACGGCGGGGTTGGGGTGGGGGGTTTAAGGGGTGGGTTAGGGGGGTAGGAACCGTCAATTTTACGAACAGAGTATTGAAGGTGCCCAAAAACCCAGTGGCACCGCTAGTGGCACTATTCTCTAGTGTCACTGGAACCGGGCCGCTGAAAAATTGGGTCTTAACAAAAAGGAGGGTTTTGTATGGATTCACGTCTTACCTTCGGGATCAACCAACCCTAGGGTTGAAACAAAACAACTCCAAAATGAGTTCTTTTCTTCTTCTCCCTTTCGATTTTTTTCCTTTTTTTCTTCTTCTTTTTACTTGAGAGTTTTTTCTTTATTATTTAAGTTCAGTTTTTATTTTATTCTCAATTTACTTTTTTATTATCTAGTTTTAAATATAACCCTGAATATTTTTTAAATGTAAATTTATATTTAATATTAGGAAAATATTACTTTTATCCTTTTAGTTTAGGTAATTTTAATTAAATTTATTTATGTTTTTAATTTGTCAAGTACATGTACTTTTTTTTTAATTGAACGCATTTTTTTTGCTTTCTATCACTCTTCTCTTATCCACCTTTTTTCGCAGTGTTGTCTTTGTAATTTAAGATTTAGGCCTCGTTTGACATCATCGTTAGAGGTTATCGTTATCGTTTTGAAAACGTTATCCGACTATAGCCTTCAGCTTTAGCGTTTTCTGAATTAATCCACAACATTTTAAATTTATCTAAAACGCTAACGATAATCGAGAATGTTGTTCCAAAACTTTAATATTAATTAACGAGCATCTTTTTCATATTTTAAATTTATAATTTAAATTAAAATAGTCCTAAAGAAGAAAAAAGGGATGTGCATGCGTGATCCACAATACTCATGAACGGGGATAAGATGTGATAGAAAAGTGAATAGTCGATGTTACACTGATTGGCAGAAGAGATTCCGTGATGGACGTGATTCACACCATTCAATCTAATATTTAAAAACCATCCATGATGAATAATATTTTCTTTTCATATTCATATTTCAATGATAAATCTAATCTCCAAGAACTCCTTCAGACCCGACGAAATGATCACTGAAAGGCGGTAAGTTGAGCTTTAATATTACGTTCAATAAACATATGAGAAGGAGTTGTAGGTGATGGGCCTCTTTGGGAATAGCTTTAGCGATTAGTGTTAGCGTTTTGAAAAAGCTATCTACGGACAACATTTAGCGTTAGCGTTTTCAAAATAATCTGCACCGTTAAAATTTTATCTAAAACGCTAACGCTAATCTCTAACGCTATTCCCAAACAGGCCCGATGTCATAACCAAACATGAGATAACTTTGCCTGCGGATAACTCAAAAACTGCAACAAACATATCATCACGTTGCAAGATTTGGTTATTGTCCCATTTGTCTTTCTCCCTCTGCTTCCGTTAAAAATGTCCAAATAAATTCTTTTGTTCAGCAAAAATCTTCATCCCCTTTTCAACTCTATCTTCACTATTTCCTCAACAAAAAAAAGGAATTGAAGTCCGAGAAATATATATTGACAAATCTTTGCTGAACAAATTTTGATCTTTGTGCGTCATTATTGTTGTTGTTGTTGTTGTTATTATTATTATTATTATTATTATTATTATTAAATGCTTCTCCGATTTTTCAAATCTAACCGCATGAGTGGCCAATGGTACAAAAGAAGTGTAAATAAACACCTACTCAAAGATCACTAATTAAATGTCCATCCTCCGGGGACATAATAAGTTCATTGCTCTTAATTAATTAAGGATTACTCCCTACTTAAAATATAATCTTTAACCATTAAAAGAAACTTACTAATCCCTTTGTCTGTTATATTTCTTTTTATTCTATTTTTCACACGATTGTCAGTGTAACACTTTAATCATAAAGATATGATATTTTAATAATCTGTGTTCCTAAATAAATATATTGATTTTAATTAATTTAAATATCTATTGAATTTATTTTTTTTCACGTATATATGATCAACATTTATAAATATTAACCAAGAAAAATGAAATGAAAACAAAGATACCACCATACCAGACAAAGGAATTAACATAAACTCCTAAATATACTTCAAAAGTCAACTTTATGATTTTTAGGTACATAATTTTCGAATCCCCGGCCCGGGATAATTGCCCAGAGTCCCTTCAAAAAAAATGTATATATTCCATCTGTCCTTAAATGTTTGTTTATTTTTTATTTTTTTCAGTCAGAATTGAAATTTTTTTATTCAAAATTATGGAGTATACAAAAGTGATATTAGATATTGATATAATAAAATTTTATTAGATTCATTTTATAAAATATTTTTAAAATATAATTTATCGAATTGATATACTCCGTAAAAAATACTCAGATATATTTTATTTAATTATAGATCAAAAGTTGAAAATAATTAATTGTAAAAAGTTAAAACTAAACAAATAACTAGTGACGGAAGTAGTATAAACTTTTACTTTGTACTTTTTATTTATTTAAATTATTTTGTGCTCTCAATAAAGTCAACAAATAGCAATTTTGTGATTTTTGTTACTCCCTCCGTCCCAATTTATATTGCTCGTTTCGGTTTACGATGTTTCACCGAAATTTTTTTCAAATCATGTTATACAAAAAATGGTGTAGAATTTAAGAATAAAAATTACATATTAAAATACTGCATCAAAAGATCTATAAAATTAGTAGTGACATGATTATTTTATTTTATCAAATGACTAACAAAAAAGAGAAAAGAATGAATAAAAATTGACTCTGTAAATACTAAATAGTAAATATGCAATTTAATTCCAGACGGTAATTTAGGACGGAGGGAGTAGCATTTAGTTTGTAACTATGGCATTTCACCAGTATAAATACTTGGCATTCTTATCATCTCATAGTAGAGAGTCTCATGCATGTCTAGTAGTACTCCTGGAACTGTGCAAACAATGGCTCATAACTCTTGGGATTTGCCTAAGGTTCTGTTTGGATGGGTGGTTTGCATCCTAAGCCTGAGCTTCATTTCTTGGTGTTGTGGTTCCATAGGAACTGTGCACATAAGTGGGAAAAGACCCGTCGGGGTAACCGACACCGACTTCGTGTGTGCCACCTTGGACTGGTGGCCACCCGATAAATGCGACTATGGAACGTGTTCTTGGGGTCACGCTTCTCTCCTTTACCTGGTACTCCTTCTGTTCTATATCTTTTGTTTTTCCCAATTTTTCTTTCAAGATAGTCTTATACCTTTCATCCAATTTCTTTATATAAAAATACCCTTCTTTTTTTAGAGCCAAAAGACTAATTCACCCTTATATTTTGACTATTTACTTCTTTTTTTAAATCTCTCTACAATTTACTACTTTAGCCTAATTTGTGTTATTATGTACTTAATGCTAATCCATCTTTTTTCCATTGTGTATGCGCAGAACCTTAGCAATACTATCCTTTTAAATGCAGTTAAAGGTGAGATTGAAGAAACCTTATATTGTCAAACTTTATTATCATTATTATTATTATTATTATTATCATTATTATTATTATTACTACTATTACTAGTTACTACGGAGTACTATATTATTGTGCCATAATTTTTTATTTTTTTGCAGCTTTTTCGCCTTTAAAGATTCGTTTGGGTGGGACTTTGCAAGATAAAGTGATCTACCAAACAAAAGAAGAGAAAGAAGAAGGAAAAAGTTGCATTCCATTTGTGAAGAACATGTCAGCATTGTATGGTTTCAATAAAGGGTGTCTCTCATTGTCCAAATGGGATGAAATGAATGACTTCTTCAATAAATCAGGGTATGTATATACTCCCATTGTCCACAAATAAAGTTCTCATTGCGCGTTACGATGTTTAACTGAAATTATTTTCAAATCATTTTATATGAAAAATGGTATGGAATTAAAAAATTAAAATTTCATATTTAAAAACTAAATGAAAAGATCTACAAAACTAGTGGTGACATGACTATATTATTTTATCAAACAAGACACAAAAATAGGCCAACAAAGTGAATAAAGTTTGACCCTGTAAATAGTGAACGAGAACTTTATTGTTGGACGGAGGGAGTATGTGACTCTCATACATATAGGTGTAGGGTCGTTGCAAGTACTAAGTGCACGCTTCAATCTTTGCCACCAATCTACAATCAAAATTCAATTTACTTTCTCTCAGTGACCGTCTGGTCGGGTCTGAGGGAGCCCCCAGGGATGGGACTCATCCTTTTTTTATTAAATTTTTTTTGGGGTGGGATGACTGACACTACATATATTGTTTGGATCCAGAGCTGTTATTATTTTCAGTTTGAATGCTCTCCAAGGAAGAACGTTCGATTCCCATGGCTTCGCAAACGGGGCTTGGAATTCAACCAATGCAGAGTCTCTAATGCGTTACACCGTGAATAAAGGCTACACTATTCACGGATGGGAGCTCGGTAAGTTTTGCGAGGTTTCGTCCCAAAACCAATCGCTCATGAGAAGTAATTATGACTCCCTTCGTCCATTTTTCCCACTTTGATTTATACGCAATTTAAGAAAAAGTAAAAAGTATTTTCTAAAAAAGAAACATGAAGAAAATTTAAGAACAGACAAATAAAAAAAGTGAAAAGAAAATTTATGGACGAAGGGAGTAAGATACATGCACTTACTCTAAAAGGAGAGTATATTGTGTAGTTGACTTTCCAAATTCGCACTTGGATGTGACGTGTAAGAGTAGAATGCGATAGTTAAGAAGGAACACGTCATATCATATAGACCGATCAGATGATTATTTTTTTCTTCTCGTCAGGGAACGAGCTGAGCGGGGACGGAGACGGTGTAAGAGTAGGAGCTGATCAATATGTTTCTGACACAATTCATCTGAAGAAGATATTGGGAGATGTATACAAGAGTGTTAGTTATAAGCCATTGGCCATATCACCTGGAGGATTTTTTGATGCAAAATGGTACAAAGAGTTTATAGAGGAAGCACAAGAGTCTTTGGATGTGGTCACCCATCACATTTACAGTCTAGGCCCAGGTTATGTCTGATTTATTTTCGTAATTTGACTTTCCAATTATATCTTTAGCGTCGACTAAAAAAATTACTTATAATAATATAGCAAATGATGAGCACCTGGTGGAGAAAATCCTCAATGCTTCATATTTGGATCAACAAATCCGTACATTTCGTCAGCTGCAGCACATCCTCAAGAGCTCCTCCGCCACCTCTGCAAGGGCTTGGGTCGGCGAAGCCGGCGGAGCGTATAACAGCGGCCGGGACCGCGTCACCAACGCCTTCGTCTTCAGCTTCTGGTATTTCAAACTCCTCTGCCTCGTCAAGATCTTGTCGTCCTCCCACTATGGCCACGTTCTCTTCGATCACCTGAACTGATTGGTTCTGATCTGATCTGGTCTGATATGATTACAATTATATATACTTAAAAACTACTCCCTCCGTCCCATGAAACCTTTCTCCTTTCTTTTTTTATCCTTCCCACAAAACACTTCTCATTTCTATTAAAAAGTCACTTTTACCTCTTACTTTTTCATACCCTAACTATCACATCATACCTTTTTACTAATAATTTATCCATCAAATCATATTTTTACCCATCACATCAAAGGATATTTTTGGAAATTCAATACCAAAATACACTCCCCTTAAATCTTTCCTAAAAAGCAAAAGTCTCATGTTTCATGGGACGGAGGGAGTTTGTGGAAATGACTTTACTAAAAGTGTTTTAATTAATTTCATGTTTTTGGGTAATTAAGCAAACTAATTAATCTTATTGTCTTGATTGAAAAAAATGCCAAAAAAAGGTATCTTGATCAGCTAGGGATGTCTGCATCTTATGGTACAAAGACATACTGCCGGCAATCACTAATTGGTGGCAACTATGGTTTACTTAATACCGCAACCTTTGTACCAAACCCTGATTACTACAGGTTAGTAACTTTAATTAATTAATTCACTAATTTCCTTCAAATCACTTGTTAATACACATTTTTATTCATTAGCCTTATCATGTTTTAATTTCCTTTGGTATAAAGTTATGACCTTGTTTGGGATTAACGTTTTTTATTAGCGTTAGCGTTTTGGATAAAATTTTAATAGTATAGATTATTTCTGAAAACGCTAAAGGCTACCGTCGGATTGCCTTTTCAAAATGCTAACGTTAATCTCCAACGCCGATGCCAAACGGGGCATATATGCCGGTGGGCGTTGCGCAGTTGGCAAGGCTAGAACTGCCAAGGGGGTAAGACCCGAATTTGATTCGTAGCAACTGCTCTCGGTGACCGTCCGGTCGGGTCCTGATAGACTCTCGGTGATGGGGCTCATCTTTTTTTGATATATAATTATATATATGGCCTATCCTTTTGCATGCAGTGCTCTTCTGTGGCACAGATTAATGGGGACAAATGTGTTGAAAACCAAATTCTCAGGAACAAAGAAATTGCGTGTTTATGCTCATTGTGCAAAAAACTCATCTGTAAGTCTTACCAAAATTCCCTTTATAACAGTGTAGTATCTAAATTTTTTTAAAATCAATTTCTTTTTTCATTTTTTTCAACAATTTTATAACGAAAAAGTTACTACCTCGGTCGGCCATATATTTCCCCAAATGTTATTTTTGTCTGTCTCATTACTTTTTTAACATTTAAAATATCGCAACTATCTTCATTTACTTTATTTATTACATTTCACTGAGTTCACTCTCTTCATTTACTATACTCTACTCACTTTCATTAAGGATATTTTAGTAAACTTCTAGCTTTTTCTAATTCTTCTTAAAAATCATAAAAGGTCAATTTAAAAAGATCTTGACAGACAAATGGAGTACATAAATATTAAAATTAATGAACAAACTTTTAGTCTTCAGATTAGAAATAGTCAGTTTAAGATTTAACTGGAATCAAATCAAATCAAACTTTGATAAGACGCCGTTTGGTACACGGAGTTCAATTTATGGAATTGGGAATAACAATTTCAATTATGTTGTTTGCTAGCACAAAAGTATGCGGATTTGAAATTGGTAGTGCCAAAAATGAACTGGAATTAGAAAATTTAATTCCATCCAAATCAATTTCATAGAATTTCAACTCTCAATTCAATTTTAATTCCGTCAATTTCATGTACTAAAGGGATCCTAAATAAAAATTAGAATCAGATCAAGTTAGTTTAGCAAACATTGTTATTGATGAAGCCTTTTTTTCACATTTTTTTGTGCAGGATGGCATAACAATAGTGTTGATAAACCTGGACGGGAAGGCGGGTGCGGTGGTGGACGTGGCGTACAACGGCGGCGGAGGAGGAGGAAGCGGCGGCGGTGGAAGAAAAGAGTATCATCTGAGCGCGAAAAATGGGGACTTGCACAGCCAAACAGTCCTTCTGAACGGGGAGGAACTGGGCCTAGATCCATCAGGGAAAATACCCTTGTTGGAGCCTCGGGTCGTCGACCCGGAAGAGCCCATTAATGTTGCCCCGTTTTCCATTGTTTTTGCCCATTTACCTTTTGTCTCTCTTCCTGCTTGCACCTATAATAATTAATTTTCAAATGACAGATTTTAAGATAGCCAGCCCCATATGTATGGTTACCATTTTAATGATTCAATGGTAATTAGTTATATCAAACTTTTAGAGTTTAAGATCATTTTATTACTAATGATAAAGCTTATTATTATTATTATTATTATTATATCAACCCTTCTTTATGATTACTTTCTCGGTTTCTTCATTCCAATATTTTTATATTGTGGATTATGATGATTAAAGTCATGTTCTCTTCACTTGATCTGATTGTATCTAATTTGATTGAAATAAGTTTTGATCTGATCTGGTCTAAATGTTGTTATATTTAAACCAATTTCTGATCCGATCTAGTCTGATCTGATTTCATTTCAACAAAAATAAATAATAAGTAGAAAAAAGAAGTTGAGGAGATTATGACCTAACTAAAGTTCAGATATCATGCATGAAATTTATAGAGGTTTACTCTTGAATTTTTTTAGAGAATATCATATATGAAGGAGCCCTAGATTAAAATTATTTTTTACAAAGTATTTAATTGTCCAACAAATTTTCTAATACTCTCTAAGTTTTTGGTGTGGGGTAAAATTTACTTGGACCTCTCAAATGGGCCTCTGTTATCAAATCATGGTAGCCCAAACTTACCTCCGATGCATTAATCACTTTTGAAAGATATGGAACAGTTTTGGAGTAGTATAGTAATTATTTAAAAATATGTCAAAAGTACTATAAACAACAAGTTAGAAAAATATTTATTTTATCAAACTCGAATTCGTGGAGTGTATAGGTTTTTTTTTTGAATTGAGGGAGCATTATGAGTCACAAAAAAAACTTGTGACATACTCCTTTTGTTTGAACTTGAATTATTTATTGCAGATTACGAACGTTATCTGACTTTATTTTCATTCTATTTCATTTCAAAGTAGGAGTAAAACTAAAAAAGTCATATTAAAAAATTACACAAAAATTTCTGCGGAAAAAAATTAAAATGATATGATTATTTTATATTATGAAATTGGAGATAATATAGTTTTGGATTGACAAGAATAAGGACAAACAGGACACTAAACTTTGTATAATTAATTCTCATCATATGTCACCCGAAATATGTTATGTTCATAACTTGTACGCATATAAGACCACCAAACACCAAAGTGACAACCTGGCAAATGTCCGCATTTTTGCTAGACCGGACTGGATCGGGCATCCGATTCCCACCCATCAATAAATAATAATCATTCAATGTACTGACTGTGTTAGGCACCCCAACACACTACGGAGTACTCCGTATATATAAATCAATGATGTTATAACCGTTGGAGTTCTCGCGTTAGAAAATTAAAAAAAATATCATTAGCATATATAAAAGAATAAAATCTTAGCCAATCAGTTAACCTTTTAGAATAAAAAAAAGGATTCGGACTTTGTATGTAATTAAGTGGTTAATTATATATGTTGTTCTCGACCAACTAGAACTTTAATATGTATTCGAGCCTTATTGATCAAGTGTTACGAGTTCTAGACTCAGCACCACCCACTAGGTCAAGTTAGAGTATACTCCCTTCGTTCATAAATAAATTTTTTGTTCCCTATTTACAGGGTCAAACTTTACTTACCTTGCTGACTTATTTTCGTCACCTATTTGATAAAATAATATAGTCATGGCACCTCTAATTTTGTAAATCTTTTGATATAGTTTTTAAAATATAGTTTTTCTTTTTAAATTTTTATACTATTTTTTCATAAAAAATGATTCGAAAACAACTTCATCCAACCATTTGTGAACGTAGAGAGCATGAAAATCATTCCTATGCCACAAAAATGTTGGCACGCTAATTCCCGGGGCCGTGAATTTTGCAATAGACAAGACATCAATCAATCTAAGGGTTTTGTAATCTCTTGTAATCAAGTTTTGAAAAATATTTTTTTGGATATAAACGTCTTGGATAGTTATTCTAAAGTTTATGTGTATTCTTGATAGTGAATCTAACTTGAGACCATAAGTTTGAGCTTTAAGTTAAGTTGGTTTTTTGACGATACTAGTTTATTTGAAACACATAAGTTGCTCCATAATTAGTTACGGGAGTAAGAACATTCAATTTTACGAAGATATCACTCTAAATGCTTCAGTAAATAGAATTGGTTTAACGATTAGAGATTGAAAGGTTTCCGATGCAATGGCACATTGGATTTGATGTGACATTACTAAATCTGTACCCGTTTAATTTTGTCGGATATCGAATTTGAATACTGATCTTGACTAATATTGAAAATCAAAACTGTATTCGCATCTGTCGGATATCGGTCGTATATCGGATATATCCGTATCCGTTTCCAATTTTTAAAATCAAATTAAACAATACTTTAATTTTAAATTAGATTAAAGTCAAACTATTATTAAATCAACTATAATTTGGTATGGGATAATTTTCTTTGTTTTCATGATTTATGATATTTTACGATAACTTTATATGATAAAAATATATACACAACACACGTATACACATATTTTTAAATGTCTCTATATATTTTTATGTGTTTACACATTTATTTTGTATATAAATTTGTCTTATATCTTGAAATATCAATAGAGAAACAAAATATAAACATAAAAAATTAGGAAAAACTATATATAACGGATCGGATAAACGGATAAACGGTTATTTAAACGGATGCATATTCGGATCAGATTTTAAACGGATTGGATATACAATTACCAAATCCGTATCCGTTTAGTAATGGGATATCCTTAATCAGATACGGATAATATCCGTTTAAAACGGATACGGATATTTCCTCTTTAAACGAATTCGGATGCAGACAGTAATCGAATTTTTGGCTATCCGTTGACAGCCCTAACAGTCGATCTCCGCAAGGACTACACTAAGATAATAAATGACTAATCCACTCACTACTTTGTCAGGCTATGATGTGGGACGCTTTGGGTGGATAATCCACAATAGAATTTATAATACGAAGTACTCTCCAATCTGCCGTGGTTGCAAAATAGGTCATGAGTTTGAAATCTAGCAAGAGCATCGACTCTTGTGATATAATATGTTGAGAATGTATGAACAAATACAAAATTATACTCCCTTTGTCCCTAAAAAAACTTTCCCTTTCGTTTTTTTTTGTTCCCAAATAAACTTTTCTTTTCCCTTAAAAAACCCCTTTTACCCCTTACTTTTTCATACCCTACCTATCACATCATACCTTTTTACTAATAATCACATATCACATCTTACTTTTACACATCACATCAAGGATATTTTTGGAAAGTCAACACAAAAATATTCCTCTCTTAAATCCTCAAAAAGTCAAAAATAGAAGTTTATTTAGGGACGGAGGGAGTAATAGATTTAATATATAATACTAAAAAGGTTATTCAATTTACTTCATTTCAGATAATTATTAGATCGGTCTTAGCTTGCTGGAGTAAGAGACCCTAGGTACATGTAGGGGTGGACACGGTACCGGTACGGTACCGTCACCGGCAACGGTACCGCCGGTACCCGCCACCGTCACCGGCAAGGTCGCCGTGTCACCGGTTCCGGGAACCGGTACCGGTACCGCCACTTTCGGTACCGGTTCCGGTACCTATTTTTTGGTACCGGTACCGGCGGTTCCGGTCCGGTTCCGGTACCGGTATAGTTTTTTTTTTTTTTTTTGATTTGAAATGCAAAAAAGTTAAAAAAAAAAAAGGTGGGGGGCGAAACAATTGCATTCTTTCCTTAAACAATTGCAATTTTACAATTGCAATTTTTTATAATTTAAAAATTAAAAAAAAAAATAGGGGTGGGGGGGGCGAAACCGGCCGGTCCGGTACCAGAACCGCCGGTCCGGAGACCGGAACCGGTACCGGCCGGCACGGTATACTATCCGGTTACTCGGGGTGGCGGTACCGGAACCGGCGGTTCCGGAACCGGAACCGTACCGTGTCCACCCCTAGGTACATGGTTCATCTATTTTTTTTAATGTACTGTGAGGTGCATGTGACTTAGTTTGACAAAATTTGAAAAGTGAAAACTTATATATATTTCTTTTAAAAAAATGTTGGAAATGTGAAAAGTATATGATGAAAATGTGAAATAGGAGAAAAGAAAATATTGTGAGTTAAATAGTTTCTTTCATACTCCGTATTTTGTAAAATTAAGAAGTTAAAAATACTTAGCTTCTTCCTTCTTCTTTTTTGTTCTCTTCAAACGAAATGTGTTATAAAAGTCTTCAAGTCTATACGTTGGTCATGAATCTTTGCCTTAGTGTAACATTTAGAAGACCAAGTGTGGTGGCCTATATTGTTCAAAACTTCAATTTTTTGAACTTTTACCATTTGAACGTCGAGAAATTGAAATTATCTTTCCAAATGAGACTTAAATCTATGTGCTAGCTAGCTACTCTTTTACATTCCACTATCCTTCTTAACTAGTAACAATATCATATTTTATATTACTACCCTTATCCCAATGTATTTTTGTTCAGTTTTAATTTTTCAAATTAAACTGAATAAATTTTGAAATTTAATTATTCTTAATTTGTATTGCATACTTTAATTACTCTCAATTTGTATTGCGTATTAGTATAATGAAATATAGTTTTGAAAATTCTAAATGCAATAAATTCAAAAAAAATCATTTTTATATTAAAATACATTACAATTTTTATTTAATTGAAACTCAAAGTTTATCTAATTTGACTCGAAACAATTAAACCGGACAAACATTGAGACGGAGGGAATAATTGTTAATATAAATGTACCAATTTGTCCTATGATGCTTAAAGTTTAAACCCCCTAATTCATAATATAATATATATTCCGCAGCTTGATCGGACAAGATTCTATGACCTCGAATCTAAATATAAACAACGGAGAAATACTCAACTAGTACTAAAACATGTTTCATATACTAGAATATGACTTTTAATACTTTTATTTTAAAATAAATCTTAGTGTCAAAAAGTGTTTATATTAAAGAATACTATAAAATGCCAAGACCAAGGTCCGTCTAAGGGTGGGCCAAGGTGCCCTACTGGCTCAGACCCATTTTTTAAAAAAACCCAACATTTTTAATTTTTTAAAAAATATATTCTACTCCTTCCGTTTGGAAAAACACTTCCCATTTGGATTTGGGGCAAAAATAAGGAAGTGTTAAATTATAGTTGATTTTCAATTTTGCCCCTGATGTGATGGGTAAAAGTAAGATGTGATGGATAGATTATTAGAGAAAAAGTATGATGTGATAGGTAGGGTATGAAAAAGTAAGGGTAAAAGTGGTTTTTTAATAGAAAAGGGAAGTGTTTTGTTGGAAGTGGAAAAAATGAAAGAGGAAGTGTTTTTGAGAACGGAGGGAGTATATCTTTTTAATAAAAGATATTTAAAAAATAATATTTTAAGGTAGATATTAAAATATTTAATTATAAGATTATAATTTTGTTATGTGCACTATTATAATATTATTAAATATTATTTTAAAAAAGATATTTATATACTTCAATTTACTAGATCCAAGGACCATTTTTCATCTCGCCTAGGGGCACCGGATTCTCGGGCCAGCCCTGGTCAAGACACATTGTCATTGACGACATTTCGCACAGCCTACATATTCACATATATTATGAAGATAAAAATATATGGAGTACAAGGTATATTTTAGTATAAAATTCATGTTTCAATGTTATTTAATAAGGGGTAGATTTTTTACAAATAATAATAATAATAATAATAATAATTTGAAAATGGGTTAAAAACCAAAAAAAACGGATAACCAAGATTGCTATTGATAAAGACTTTCATCCAAAAGGTGCCCATAGGTTAAAAACCAAAGAAAAAACCGGATAACCAATGACCGATCGAGATTCAAAACTATTGATAAAGACCTCATCCAAAATTTTTACCCGTGGTCCGGCCACGTCCAGAAGGTGCCCATAGGTTGCACGTAAAAATTTCTACCAAAGTCTTCTAGAAGTGATGGTGTAATATTACCAAGTGGCTTTTAAAATTATGTGGATTTCATTAGTCTAAAAAAACGTGGATTTTATTAAATCACATAACTATTCCCGGTTATTTTTGGTTAAATTGATTTCGTTGACAATTTGACATGATATGATGATACTAGAATTTTATTGATCTAGAGACGACAAGTTCAAATTTCATCGTCATCCTATTTTAAAAAATTAATATTCACTTGCAAGATTCGAGTAGAAACAAATCTCGCATACACGTGAGCAAGCGTGTTAAACAATGAGAAAATATCAAAATAGGAAATCCATCCTTTTTATTTCAAAGACAGGGGTACAATACCAATAATATCTATATATAGTACCAAAAATACAGCGGGATGCAACTATAGAGTATTACGGTGCAATAATGTCATGGTGTAAATTCTTATTTTGAGGATAAAAATATCAAACTCCTATTTTAAGAATAAATACTACGGAGTATGTTTTATTTATATTTGGTGTGATTTTCTTTAAAAAAAATTCATGAACCTACAATTATAAGATTGAGTTTTCTATTGAATTGATTCTATTGACACTATGTACAAACATATCATACAATTATTTTTTAACAAAGTCTTTAGACTGAAGTACTCATTAAGTTTAATAAATGAAAATTGAGTGTTGTTCCGTGGCCACTAGTTTTCGGAACCACGGTCCCTGCCACTGCCTTTTTGAAGTAAGTCCAGTGTTTCGTTCACAAAATTGATGGTTTATACCCTTCTCCACCCCTTAGATTCCTCCCCAAGACCCATCCGGACCCTCCAAATATGTGGCTATTTACATAGGGGAAAGGGGAATGATTAGGATGTAAGAATTAACAACCAATTTTACGAATAAAGCACCAAAAATGGTCCATAAAAACAGTGGAAGCGATAAAGAATCATATGGTAAGTGAGTAACTACAGAATTCCTAGGGTGAAAGTTAAACACAAATGAATATTCATTGGCGTGTAGGACCATTCACTTTGTGCCACCAATGAATATTCACTGTGTGCACGATCATTCGATATACGCCAAAGATCCGTTTGGTATATAGAATTGTGAAATTTAGAATATAAATTGGAAATTGAATTTTATGGGATTGATTTGGACAGAATTGAATTCTCTAATTTTAATTTATTTTTGGTACTATCAATTCCAAATTCATATATTTTTGTGTTACCAAACAACAGAATTAAAATTGATATCTCTAATTCCAATTCTGTGATTTGAATTTTCTATAAGCAATCTAAACAAAAATTGAATACTCATTAACAAAACACTACTAGGTGATTGCTTATCAATTCACGTTAGATGTACAATAATAATCCCTCCGTTTCAATAAACCTTTCCTCTTTTATTTTTATCCATTTTTCTAAAATACTTCCACTTTCTATTAAAAAACATATTTATCATTATTTTTTTCATATCCTACATACCATATCATACTTTTTCACTAAAAATCTAACTATCACATCATATTTTTTCACCAATAATCCAACTATCTCATCTTATTTTTTTCCATCATACAAGGACAAAATTGGAAAGTCAAACATAAATATACTTTTCTTATTTTGGCTAAAAGCCAAAATAGGAAGTGTTTATTGAAGCAGAGGAAGTACAATATGTTCGTATCTATGGTTGATTAGTAGAAGGAAAATTCTACTTTATCCCGTATTTGCAACTTATTTTGTACCCCAAGAGTTTGCCCTGACATCAAATGTAAGTGAAAGAATTGATTAGAAATCATCATAAATAGGACTAAAACATATAGAAAAGTACCAAAATAGGAGTTTCATGTTTCTTTTCATGGAATAGGACTTGACACTGTGGTAATGTGACTTTGCATTGTGGTAATGTGACAGTGTACATGTGCAAATTACTATACCTTTTTGGTAATGTATATGACCATGTTTGGTAATGTAAGTCCTATTTCGAAAATAAAAACATGGAAGTCCTATTTTGGTATATTTTCAATGTTTTAGTCCTAGTTTAGTCTTTCTCCCAAAATTGATAGTATGCCAATATTGTATTTACATTTTATGTCAAGATAAATCTTTAGAGTACAGAATGAGGTATAACTTGAAATGAGTACCCATATATATAGTAGAAGAAAAATGCTAGGGGTACACCAAAGGTGTACTCCATTTGTCCCCCACCCCCTCCATCACCACACAAAAAAGCAAGAAACTAAAACAAAATTAAATAAATAAAAATAAAATAAAATTGAATGGTGGATACAGGGGTGGGGGACAAATGGAGTACACCTTTTGGTGTACCCCTAGCATTGCTCAAAGTAGAATTCTCGTAGAAAGATTGGCCATATATATACCACCTTTAAAATTGAGTTAACATCTTTATGAATGAGGATCACTTTAAATGAAATTCATAAAATGAAGACAAATATATACGTGCATCCAATTCAGTATATCACGTTTTCTTTGAGCTAGAGTATGTGAAGTAAAATCATATAAGGAAGTTTATTAATTATAACCACACTAAGGGTGTGGTTATCATTTTTTTTTCTTATCGTGTTAAATTACATGTCTTCACAAATGATTTTTTGTTAGAGTTAATATACATAAGTTGATGTGAAAATTTATGCGAAAAAATTATTTAACTCTTACTAATTTTTATTGTACGTATTATATTACTGTATATTTTTTCACTAATAATTTATTAATCACATTTTTATTTTTCATCACCATATAATGAGCAAAATTAGAAATAAAGTTAACTACAAATACACTTTTCTTATTTCTCTCGTAGTCAAAATATGAATAATTTTGGTTAATAGAGGAAGTATATGTTTATGTTAGCTAGTTGAACAAAGAAAAGACAAAGCTATAAAAATGTGTATTTCATAAGGTGAGTGGAGTGAATAAAGATAATGCTAATGGTGACGTGTAATAAATTGAATTGAACGATAATTGACTGACTTTAATAAATTTTAGTGAGTGAGTTAAATCATAAAGCTTACTTTAAATTATACACATAAAATTAAATAAATTAAATTAATTGGTAAACTTAACTTTTCTATCAAATAGCGTAACTGAAAATTTCAATGAACTTTCTATGATGTTGATGCAAAATTGTGTTTATGTAAACCATGATATGTATGGGTTTTGGCCGGGTTGCTATGCAATTCTTGTTGCCCGTTTGTCCGTCACTTCTTTATATTGGGTTGATACATGCACCGATACATACACCAAGTATTATTCTTAAAAGAATTATGCTATTATTAGAATGCTTCACCCTTTACGATTGAGTTTATTGACTATAATTAAAGAGAGTTACACAAAACTACACATGTAATTCTCTTCGTTGAAAAAAAATAGATTCTTTTTTGGTACTATTCTGACATTTGATAACTTGATAATATTAATTTATTTATTTATATTTTTATTGATTATTTTATAAATTAAAATATTTTTTTATGAACTTTGTAGTTTTTATTTTTATACAAATTTATAATCAAAATAATTTCAAAAGAGAATAGATCAATTTTTTTCACGTCATTTGAAATGAGATAATATTTTTATAACAAAAGAAGTAAATTTTGTACCTATAAGTTTGCAATATAGGAGGGGATAATTACTCGCAATAATAATGCAATCAAGATAAAAAAGCAAAGTGAGTTTAGTTAATTGAAAATTAATGTCTTAATAGTAATTGAGGCCGTGGATAAATCCACACTGGTGACGCAATATAAATACTACTCCAATCCGAACCATACAACACGACGGCCACATCTCAGCTACCACCGTCACCCTCTCCCTCTCTGTCTGTCTTCCCTTTCACTCTTCTCCGACGTTTCACTGAAACCGCCGGCGATGGGAGCGCCGACAATACTACCAGATCTAGGCACCGAGATCCTGATCCCGGTGTGCGCACTAGTCGGAATCGTCTTCGCTCTCGTTCAGTGGATCCTTGTCTCCAAAGTCAAGCTCTCGCCGGAGAAATCCGGCCCCGGAGCCTCCGACGGGAAGAACGGCTTCGCGGAGTCGCTTATTGAGGAGGAGGAAGGCATCAATGACCACGGCGTCGTCCACAAGTGTGCCGAGATTCAGCGCGCTATCTCTGAAGGTACTCTGATTTTTTTTAGCTGAATCGGTGCTGCATTTTTCTAGATTTGTGGATTTTAGATGCGTAATGGATTGAATCTTCTATCCGTGTGAAATTGTGCTTGAATGCTCTGTAGAAATCATATACGGAAAGTTCTAATTTGAGCTGTGGATCTGCACTTCCGTATTTCTTTCAACTTCATGTGCACTATTTTTACACTCCGGGGAAATTTTTTTCCCCTTTTTGGTTGTTCGAACAGTAAATTTTGGGACATATCTGATTTGCTAATTTAATCCAATTTATACTTTGTGAAGCATTGAGGTGAATTTAAAATTTTCCAAAGTGACAAAGTTCAAACTTTCTGATTTGAATGATACAGATCTGGATTTTTTCCTGTTGTGGTTGGTTTCTTTGGCCGAACGGTTATGTTAAAAACTTCTTTTTTTTCCGTGTACGACGACGCGGCCTACACGAGCGAGCAAATTTGTACGGTAGTTTTTTGGCTTTATTTACTACGGAGTACTACAAAGTTACCACTTTTCAGTAATTAATAAACAAAATATATATTTTTTGAAAGCACCATCAAGCTATATGCATGTTTTCACTCATCTGAGAAACCACCTGAATTCAAGTCGCTATTGGTGTATTTTAGTGTTTGTCATATATACCGTGCTTCCGATTGGCTTTTAAAAATTTTAATAGTCATTGGTTTCTTTCTATCTGGTTGACTTGACTCTTCTTAGTACTCTGTAGTTAATACTACGACAGTGCCAAAAAAGGGTCCTACATATTACTACAAGTCTTTGCTGGTTCGACTTAATTTATGTTATTTATATATATTTTTATAGATCTAATGTATAATTTTACAATTATTTGTTGGTAATTTTAAATTGCACACTTTTTTTAAAAAATAATTACATTAAATATATAAAAAAAAAAGTTCTTTCTGTTTTTTGGGTAACAGGAAGTTTTGAAGTATCTTTTTTTTGGAACAATTTGTATTTTCCCTATATAACACACTTCTTATTGGTTTGAGAGTTGGGACATGTCTAATACAACTGACATTTTTAATTCAATGTTTTCCATTTCTATTTATGTTGTGTTACAGGTGCAACCTCATTTCTCTTCACTGAATACCAGTATGTTGGGATTTTTATGGTTGCTTTTGCAATTTTGATTTTCCTTTTCCTCGGATCGGTTGAGGGTTTCAGCACAAAGAACCAACCATGCACCTACTCCAGCAGCAAAATGTGCAAGCCTGCACTTGCCACTGCTATCTTTAGCACTATCTCTTTCGTGCTAGGTGCTATTACTTCTGTGGTTTCTGGCTTTCTTGGAATGAAAATAGCAACTTATGCGAATGCCAGGACTACCCTGGAAGCAAGAAAGGGTGTCGGGAAGGCTTTCATCACCGCTTTTAGGTCTGGTGCAGTTATGGGTTTTCTTCTTGCTGCTAATGGTCTTTTGGTCTTGTATATTACCATCAATCTCTTCAAGCTGTATTATGGTGATGACTGGGAAGGCTTGTTCGAGTCCATCACTGGTTATGGGCTTGGTGGATCTTCTATGGCTCTTTTTGGCAGAGTTGGTGGGGGTATATACACAAAAGCTGCAGATGTTGGAGCTGATCTTGTGGGCAAGGTTGAGAGGAACATCCCTGAGGATGATCCCAGAAATCCGGCGGTATGGCATTTTCAGTTTTAATGTGAAGATTTAGAGTCAGTCTAGTAAGCCCTAAAAATGGCTGAATTTGTTGAATATAGTCTAGTTGTGGCAGATATAGCATAATCTGCTAAATTATCCAAAACTTATTTTAAATAATTTGGAAGTAATATATCGAAAAGAAAATAAAAGTGTCATTTTCTGTAATTGTAGCTTAAAAATAACTCATCCCTAGTTTTTTTTCATTATTAGCCAGCAATGTGAAGCATCCAGGGTCTAATAAAAATGCTCTCTTTTTTATAGGGTGAGGTTATGTACATTTTTCCCGTTCTTGTTGTAGCTAGTGAAGTGAAATAAGTTGGTGCTAAGTGAAAACATGACTGGCCTTATAATGTGGTATACCAAACATGCATGGTAACCCCTTATTTTGGCTTATGAGCCAGATTCTAAGTCAAACACTAATCGATTTCATTGTTTTGCCACTATGCATGAATCAACTGATAATATACAGAGTAGTTCATGAATACTTCTTTTGGCCAAAATTGTCATCTCAACGTCAACATTTGTTTTTATGTTATTTACTTCAATTTATTGAAGAAATAGTATGTTTTAAATAATTTTAAGTTAATCTAGCCACTTCAAACATTTTAGGACTCACCAAATGCTCTCTTACTCCAACTCATTTTTCCAATTTATTGATTTGTGATTCTCTCAGGTGATTGCTGACAATGTCGGTGACAATGTTGGAGATATTGCTGGCATGGGATCAGACTTGTTTGGCTCATATGCAGAGTCATCTTGTGCTGCGCTTGTTGTTGCATCAATATCATCCTTTGGAACCAACCATGAGTTTACACCTATGCTATATCCTCTTCTCGTCAGTTCCATGGGCATTCTAGTTTGCCTGCTCACCACCCTTTTTGCTACTGATTTCTTTGAAGTGAAGGCAGTAAAGGAAATTGAGCCAGCACTGAAGAAGCAACTCATAATCTCCACTGTCCTGATGACCGTAGGCATTGCTATTGTTACCTGGGTTAGTCTTCCATATTCCTTCACCATCTTCAACTTCGGAGCCCAGAAAGAAGTACACAGCTGGTAATTTTTCACCCTCTTCAGGCTATATTTTGAAATCTTAAAATGTTAGGAGAATAAGAATATTTGCCAAGGAAAATGAATTTTCAGGTTTGGTACCTTAGGAAATACAAAGGAAAATAAAAAAATGTTTTTTTTATATTTTACACATATAGACTACTGGGTCTTTATATATACATAAATTGAGCTTGAAAAATATCCTAGGTTTGGTTTGTTGAGTATGAGTCATTTTTTATTTTCCCATACATTTTCTCCCTACCAAATTTCACATATATTTTCCTCTTTACCATCTACTTTTAGCATTTTCTGAGTTACAAATGGACCCTTAATCTTGCTGTCTGACTGTAATTCAAACTTGCAGGCAATTGTTCTTATGTGTTGGTGTTGGTCTGTGGGCTGGTCTTATCATTGGATTTGTTACAGAGTACTACACTAGCAATGCTTACAGGTACTTGTTTCTATTATTAAATTGGGTCTATCTTAACCCAAAAGGATCAGCTGGAATGTAGGTTTACCCCTAACTTGTATTCTACATCTGAACTAGTAAATTACTTCATACTTAACATACCCCCCTCTGGCACCGGAAATGGACTAAGGGACCCATCACAAATTGTAATTCCTGCTTTTTTTACCAGCCCTGTACAAGATGTTGCTGATTCGTGCCGCACTGGAGCTGCTACCAATGTTATATTTGGCCTTGCATTGGGCTACAAATCTGTTATCATCCCAATTTTTGCAATAGCAGTTAGCATCTTTGTCAGCTTCAGCTTCGCTGCCATGTATGGCATTGCAGTCGCTGCCCTAGGAATGCTTAGCACCATTGCAACTGGTTTGGCTATTGATGCATATGGTCCTATCAGTGACAATGCCGGAGGCATTGCTGAGATGGCTGGTATGAGTCATAGGATACGCGAGAGGACTGATGCCCTTGATGCTGCTGGAAACACTACTGCTGCCATTGGGAAGGTAAAACTAATATTCTTCTTTTATGCTTTTAAATATGGGGGAACCATTAGTGTTTCGCCCAGAGCACCGTAGGCACCCTTGGTCATGCTATGACATTGGCTATCAATGTCATTTGAACCGGGGTGTTTAAATATAGAACCACCCCTTCATGTTTCCCCTTTTATTGTCTTGTCTATATACTTTCTCCATTCCAATATTATCAGAACGGCCAACATTTTACAGTTTAGCTTTTTCAAATTGTTTGATAATCCTCTGTGATCTATACGTAAGTAAACATATTGTCACATGGGATCTAGTTAGATTCACGTCATAAAACCTTTCATAATATCAATTTTTAAAATATTTTTTTTACTAAAACATATGGAAGATATTAATGAGGAAGCATTTATGAGGAAGATTCTGGGCTATTGAAAGCAAACTTCTTTTTTGGAATCTCCTCATATTCAAACTCAAGTGAAAAAAAATTTGTAAGAAGGATGCAACAAAAAGGGCATCTGGCCTAAATTTCATGCTCGTGGATTCCAATTAGTTTAGGTGCTAATCTCTTTTCCTCTACTTTTTTTTCTTTATCAAACAATTCTGTGAACCCAATTGGACCATAATGGCCATCTTAATTGTTTTAGCATTTACTTCCATGCCTATGTATGATAATACCCTTGATGAATTTACTTGAATTGTTTCAGGGATTTGCAATTGGATCTGCAGCACTTGTTTCTCTTGCATTGTTTGGTGCATTTGTGAGCCGTGCCGCAATTTCAACTGTAGATGTCCTCACACCCAAAGTTTTCATTGGGCTACTTGTGGGTGCAATGCTTCCTTACTGGTTCTCTGCCATGACAATGAAGAGTGTGGGGAAGGCTGCCCTTAAGATGGTGGAAGAAGTGCGCCGACAATTCAACACCATCCCAGGTCTCATGGAAGGCACCGCCAAGCCTGACTATGCCACCTGTGTCAAGATCTCCACAGACGCCTCTATCAAGGAGATGATTCCACCTGGCGCTCTTGTCATGCTAACTCCCCTCATCGTTGGAATCTTTTTCGGCGTGGAGACCTTGTCTGGTGTCCTTGCTGGGTCCCTTGTATCTGGTGTACAGGTAATTTTGTTGATTACAACTATTGCCCTCTCTCCATCTGTGCTCAAAATCAAAATTACTCCATATTTTATTTTTTGTTTGGGTGAACTAAGATTTCCATATCTGTAATGGGATAGTGGGAGGGTTCGGGTAAAATTGAGCCTAAGAGCGTGTTCTTTAGGGTTGGAAAAAAAGAGTGGGAAGAAATTGGAAGAAACTATTGGAAAACCGGAAGAATCTAAAAGAAACTAGAAAAAGAAATGGAAGAATTTGGTAGGAACGGGAATAAATTGGAAGTAATTAGAAAAAACTGGAAGAAATTGGAAAACCAAGAGAAAGTGGAAAAAATTAGAAGGAACATTAAGAAATTATTTGTGTATTTTTCATATTATTCTTATTAAGCCCTAAAGAACAAGTTCTTAGTTACTTAAAAAAGTTCTCAAGTGGTGACTTATTTTCAACCTTTTAGGTACTCCATCAGTCACATAAGAGGTTTGATATTTCCTTTTTTGTTTTTCCCAAAGGAGTTTCTTTCATTTCTAACTTCTGACTAGAAAAGACTAAAGAGTTGTGGGTTCATATTAATCCTTTGTTCTCATAAATCTCGATTTCCTTAATAACCATTCCCGGTCAATTGTTGAACCTTATTCCGGGACAAAGGTAGTACTACACTGCACCCAAGTAGACAACCGATATGGGATGTACAACTCATATTATCAGCCCAAACCTGGCTAGACATATGAGTCCCAATCAAAACCCTCAATTGTTTCGTCCCATATCAACTAGCGAGTAGGATCTCACGGATCACAATCCAGTTAGACTCTTATATCATGTTAAATGACTTAACACTGAGCTCAATAGTTAATGTTCTAATTCTGTGTGGATTTTTGTTTTATAGATTGCTATCTCTGCATCCAACACTGGGGGCGCCTGGGATAACGCCAAGAAGTATATTGAGGTAAATTGTAAAAACCTTTTCTTTTAATGCTATGTTCTTAAAAGGCAGTGTTTATTTTAATATTACCTTAGAGATGCCAAGAAAAATAAAACTTGATCAAGATTTTTAGTTATAGTTTTGATTCCTTAGCCTTTACAACAACAACAAATCCACAAACAATGTCTGTGAGAATGAAAACCCTTGTTCGTGTGTGTAAAAGAATGGCACAGAACTTGGTGTCAACAAACGTACCCTTACGACTATGAATGGAGAAGAAGGGCCGAGTTTCTACATTTTGTAACATATTCTTCTTTGCTTCTCGGCTCTTACAGGCCGGGGCTTCAGAGCATGCCAGGACTCTTGGTCCCAAGGGGTCTGACCCACACAAGGCAGCCGTGATAGGGGACACCGTTGGGGACCCACTCAAGGACACGTCCGGGCCATCGTTGAACATTCTTATCAAGCTCATGGCTGTGGAGTCTCTCGTGTTCGCCCCTTTCTTTGCCACGCACGGCGGTCTCCTCTTCAAGATCTTCTGAGAACACACATCTCATGTGGCTTCGTATTCCCTCCCAACCAAAGTGTACCCCTCTTGTTTTTTGCCTGTAACTTCAATGTTTTTTTTCTTCATTTTGGGCGTTATTGGATTACTATTATATTCCCATAGAGTAATGTGCACTAATATAATGGCGAAAGCGTACAACTGCTTTTTGGTTTAATCTTGCCTTCTCCATTTTCATTTCTTATGTAGTTTGGGTTCAAGACATTCTTGTTTTTGTCTAATTAATATACTGTATACGGAGTAATTTTTGTCTTCACAGAACTAAGTTAAAATTGAACAAATATTTTGGAGTCCTTTTTGTAATTCTCTTTTGGTCAATAAATAGGATGATCCATTTTTAGGTCCAAGCATGTACTATACACCATGAAAACTAAGCATGTGATATCTTTAAATTGATTGGCTGATCGGTCGTTCGTCGCTGCTGTTTTAGCTCACCTCATTTGTTCGTAGAAGTTCATTCCTAGGGGGAGTTCATTTGAGTTCATCTGTAAATGATTTTATTTACAAAATCTCAATTTTTTATTTTTTTGTAAATAATTTTTATCATTAAAAAAATCACAATGTTCGAATACACAACAAACCTTTATATATTAGATTTGAGAGTTGATCTCCTAGACTTGCGACAAGTGGTGAATCTACAAGACAACATTTTAACAAATCATCTGTCACCTATTAACGATTGAATGACGTAATAATTTCAATCAAAATATGAATAGGTCCAATTTAAGTTGTATACAGAGTATATGTCTTATGTACAATGTCGTTATAATTTTTTGGGAAAAAGATACTCTATACCAGAATAGGAATACACATGGAGAAAATATCAAAATAAAAATGTATATTTTTTTATCTCCAAAATAGGAGCTAGCAAACATTAAGATATTCCTTAGTTTAAAAAAGAGGTTATTGGTAATAAATTTCTAACGAAAGACAATGTTTGCTCTATATATCGAGGTTATAGTATACAAAATTTACAAGAAAAATCAATTGAGAAGATCAAATTCAAAAACAGATGGAGTATTATTGAATAAATTAGAACCTACATGATTTTTTATGCAATTGAGTGAGAACTAAAATTTATTTTTTTGATAAAAAGTTTTATAAAATCAACTTTTAAAATAATTAAAATAATAGTATAAATGTTTAAAATCAACTTTTAAAATAATAGTAACATTTTTCACATAAAATTTTAAAAAATTATCACTTAAAAATAATCACATGTATTTTACATCCAAAATTATCACTTAAAAATAATCACATCTATTACTACATAGATAATTAATGCTTAATAACACTAATTTTGGAAAATACGTCATTTGAAAAGACTATTTTGAGATTATCCAAATAAATATATAATTTATAATAAGGTGACTAAAAGACTTGAAACTATATTTTCTAAGAGAATTATATGTGTCATGATTAGATTTATACTTTATTTTTAGACAAATGGATGATACGTATATTATGAGATTGACTCAATGCATATCTTATCTAGAACTTTTGTTTATAATAAGACGACTAATTATGATATGAAATAAAAGTATTTACATGCAATTTGACTATTTTAAAATGTTAAATGTTTAAATTAAACAAATTAGAAAAAAAGATTTAATAAGACTTTTATACTTTATCTTGGTGACTTGGTTAACTATTTTAATCAAAATAATCTTTTGTAACTTACGATTAACACAGTACATACTTATATTGTGTTACAATTCAGAATGTTTATACATAAAATTAAGAAATTTTGAATGAGAGAGGACTTGTTTCCAACATTTTCATTTACGCAATCGTACATAAAAACTTCATACGATGATATTTTATGAGACGACACAGATTTATGCAAAGAAGATTCTGACAAAGAAGATTGAGGTGTGGAGGGGTGCGTGAGAAGATTTGTGACAGTGAAGATTTAGGATAATCGAAAAAGTTAGAAAATTGTGCTGAAAAAATCCAAAGTGCAATAGCTAATAAGTTCGAGACTCAATTACAGGTTACAACCACATCAAAGAAAATACAATTTCCAATTTGTAACTATTTGTATTTTGATAGAACATTTTATATCTTGACCAGAATATTATCCCGATAAGAAGAATCCTACTCCCTCCGTCCCGGAAAACATGCGAGTTTTGGTTTTGGAGAGGGATTTAAGGGGAGTGTATTTTGGAATTGAATTTCCAAAAATGTCCTTTGATGTGATGGGTAAAAGTATGATTTTTTGGATAGATCTGCCACGGACTTTTGTCGAAATATTGGAATAATAATATTGCTCCCTTAATTATGGAATACATGATAGAGTATATATAGGAGAGATTCCTAACACAACTAGGAATAGAGAATGGAAACTAACTAACATACAACATCTACTACAAATAGGATTAGGAAGCTGACTAATAATGAAACACTACCATAACCAATACTACCAGAAGTAATATTAGTTTTATTGTCTAACATCCCCCCTCAAGCTGAACTCTGGCTGAAGCAAGAGAAAGCTTGGACACTAGCTGGAAACGGGAAACTTTAAGAAGAGAGAAGTTTGACATACGCCGGTGGCTGCTCACGTCGTTGGAGAAGAGACAAGTCTGACGTGCGCCGGTGGCTGCTGGCATCGTTGGAGAAGAGAGAAGTATGACGTGCACTGGTAGCTACTAACGTCGTTGGAGAAGAGAGAAATTGACGTGCGTTGGTAGCTGCTGACGT